TTTTGACTCTATTTTTCCAAAGGACAACCCCAAGAACACAAGGTTTGCAATTAATTCTTTCACCTCCATAATTCAGAAGGATGGTGAATTAGATTGAGATGTATGTCATAGAATCAGAGCTGAGTGGATGAAATGGAAAAGTGCTTCACGATTTCTATGCGATCGAGGTATGCCGACTAAATTGAAAGGTAAATTTTATCGTACAGCAATTAGGCCGACATTAATGTATGGCGTAGAGTGTTGGGTGGTGAAGCAATGCCACATTCAAAAGATGAGTGTGACAGAGATGCGTATGTTGCGTTGGATGTGTGGACATACCAGAAAAGACCGCCTGAGGAATGAGGTAATCAGACAAAAGGTGAGAGTAGCACCTATAGAAGATAAGATGGAGGAGTCTCGTTTGCGGTGGTTTGGGCATGTGCATAGAAGACCGAGTGATGCACCTGTTAGACGACTTGAGGGATGAGGAGAAGAGTCAGAGAAGAGAGGGAGGGGAAGACCCAAACAGATTTGGATTAGAGTAATCAGAACTGATATGCGTCTTCTTGGGTTGGATGAGAGTATGACTTTGGAGAGAGCAAAGTGGAGGGACGATTGATGTCTTGTCTACCTTTACCTCTCTTATTTCTTTTATCGTTTATCTTCCTTATCTTTTTATATTCTTATTTATTTTTATCTTCTAGCTTTTTTATGCTCTTTTATTTATTTTTCTTTTATCTTGGTTATATTCTTGTGTTATTGTTATCTTATATTTATGTATCTTTATTTTATTCATTTTATCTTACTTTTTTTCCTTTTCTTGTCCGCCTTCTCTTTTTGGCATCGATATGATAGATCGATTCATGTTAGCCGACCCCAAATTCTTTTGGGATTAAGGCTTGGATGTTGTTGTTGTTGTTGTACCTCCATCGGCCCGGGTGGGATCACTGAGAACCTCCGAGAATATCTGAAGAATGTGCCACGCCTCATCATGCAGCAGCAACACAAGCCCACCACCCCTGCTTCTTCTGATTCATCAGGAGGCGTTGATCTGCCCAAATGTTTGACTGTATAGTCTGTATATCATCTTTTTAGACACAGTTCTTTTTTTAAACATTTTTCCTAAAACAAATAGGTGACTCTGTACTTTCCCCACTGTTTTATATGTGTATGAAACTCAAGTACAGAAATATTGCTAATGCCAGTAGGTATTGTTAAGCCTGAGTATGAGTGTGTCTAGGAGACTGGTTTGCTTTTCTTGTTTAAAATATTTCAGACAATGCTCTTACCGCCTAGTAGTGAAGATCATACATTAATCCCCCCTCACCCAAAAAAGGAAGTTTTATAATGCTTAACCAACAAATAAAAGGTCGTTTTCATGCCAACTTCGTAGGAACCAAACTGGTAATAAATGTCCATTTTTAGGCGGGTAATATTGATTATTCTCCATCTGATTTGCTACTCACTGTCTACCTATTTCATAACCTATAAACATGGGTGAAGAGCAGTACTGAAATGGAGTAGCCTGATATAATTTTGGATAATCAAACGGGATCAGACCTGGATCATTAATGAGCTACAGCATATTAGTTGTCAATGATGGTGATGAGTTGCATTTTCAATTCAAAAACCTATTTATGTGTATTTGAAACAAAGTAATATCACTAAACATTCACTTTGTCGGTATCCTTCCTCACATCGATGTCTGTTTACTATTCATTCCTGCTCCCAAACCCAAACCAACTACTAAATGGACGTGTGTTGTGTTTACTGAGCTTGTAACAACCCTCACCAAAGCACCCCCACAATTTAGGCCTTAAAAGCAATAAAAAAAAGAATGTATTTTAGAAATATAAATCCAATAAGTATTCATCACAAACCCTTTCTTTTATGGAAACTCATCACAAAGGCATTAAGATCAACTATAGACTTAGGAATAGAACAATGTTGATACATGAACTTGGAAGGAGGAGAAGGATATTGCTCCTCACATTTTGATCTTTTGCAGTCTCTCTATACAAACTAAGAGGCCGTTTGGCAACCCTCATTTTCGGCTTATCAGGCTTATCAGCCAACTTTTTTACTAAACACGTAAATTTTGCTTTCGCACGCTGAATTGTGTAATAAGCCGAAAAAGTAAGGTTGGAGTTACTTTTCTGACTGTATTGGTTGAAGTTACTCTAGATGATATCATTTTAGCTATTTTTACATATAATTTTTTCTTTATTTTATTAATAAAATATATTTTAAAAATATTTTTTTCTTGTATCAGCAGAATCAGCCAATGCAGCCACTTCAGCCAGAATTTCATAAATTTCAACAGAATCAGTCAAAACAACCGATTTTCGTGCTACCAAACGGGCTCTATCAGTAACATAAATTGCGTATGATTCATGGGATTTAGCCTATTAATTACTCCCTCCATCCCTAAATGTTCTTCCAAATTAAAGTGACACGGTGATTAAGAAAGTGAGAATTGTGTGGTGGAGAGTTGTGTAAAAGAGAGAGAGAAATGTTGTGAACCATAATTTTTTTGCCAAAAAGGGAAAGTGAAATTCTTTTTGGGACGGACGAAAAGGGAAAGTTGGAAATAAATTTAGAGACGGAGGGAGTAGTATTTTTCACGAAATACTATGTTTATTCTTACAGACTGTAGTGGTATTGGTCCACCTCACTACTGGGCCATCCCTGAACTGCCTTTGGTCCACCTCATTTAAGGAGTTGGTCTCCTATTTAATGCCCTGGCCCAATTGGACTGTCTACCCGACCAAGCCCATTCCCTTACCCGTTTGTCTTATACCCAGCCCATCCCGTGTGGCCCTCCCTTATATTGTCTGGTTCTTCTGGAATCCTCCTATTTCTGCCTCTCCACCTTCTCTCTAACCGATGTCTCTCCCGTTCAGTTACCCTAGACCTAGAGTGAGAGAGTGCCAGTCTACTCTGAGCTTTAGCTCCGGCTTTGCTCCGGTGAGACTTTGGGGTTCCTTTTGGGGTCTTCACTCTAGTCTGGTAGTGTGGTGGGTTATTGCTCCTCCGGTGGGATTTCTGGGCTAGGGTCTGGGTTCTGAGTGTGAGGGCTAGTTGGCTGTCGCCCTTTCGTCTTCCCTGATTGTATCCCTGGTGGTGAGTGTGAGCAAGCCTTTGGGCTTGGTGGTGATTGAGGTCTGAGCCGGTCCGGTTTTCTAACGCAGACTGCTTGAAAAAAACTTGTCAACTGTTCAATAAATTATATTATATCTGCTTCTTATGTCTACCAAAGAATTTGATACAAAGGAATGGTTCCCCGTGTATCTTTGTGAGATAATTTTCTATCCTTGTATGCACTACGTGGGAATTTCCCCATGTATCTTTGTGAGATAATTTTTTTATATTAATTTAAAATTGATCGCAAATCAACTGTATGAGAAAATATCGAGTATATTCTCTAAACATCAAATTCTCTGATTCTTCACGTAAATCTGAAGAGATATAATTAAAGACTTTAATGTAAAAATTACATCTTTAGTTCTCACAAATCTAAAGAAATATAATTAGACTTTTGGGAGTGGAAGAAGCCTGCAGTTTGACCGTTGACCATTACTGATAGGTGAGTAGCTTTGAGATTGCCCATATTAACTGAATCACCTTATCACAGAAACCAAATTTATTAGGAATTTTATCAATTCATGACCTGAAAGATGAAATGTATCGGTATAGGACCCGAATGATGGAAAACTATCAATCTATGACCCGAATGGTTGAAAACTATCAATTTAGGACCTAAGTTTTTTATAAATTTTAGGGAAAAGTACGGAAAAAGTACATGTGGTTGAGCCCGTTTTCAGATAGGGTCATGTGTTTCACTCTTTATCAAAATGATTCATGTGTTTGAATTCCGTTATCACAAGAGGGTCACGCTATTAAAAACGTTTGAAAAATATCGTTAAAAGTAACTCCGATTTTCAAAAGTGCCCGAAAAATTAAAAGAAAAATATCTGAAGGTGCGCTTCAATAAGACGACCGCTAGGCCATCTTTCTTTTTAGTTTTCAACCTCCCTTGTCACCGGAAAGTCCATCGGAAAAGTGATATTAGTGAAATCATTTTTAAAAAATAATTCAAACAAATCTGAAAAATCCAAAGGCGAAGATGGTTTGGAGGTCATCGGCACACCTTAATGATAGTCTTTTGAAACAAAGCCAAATTTGAACAATATTATTTATTTTAAAAAATTTAAATAATATTTTGTTTTATTAAACTAATTGTGACAGAAATGTGTGTTAGCGTCTCCCTCTTTAAGCTTCTGAAAAGGGGCAGCTTTACATTTTGACTAAATCTCCCTATTTTCCTCTGAGTCATCTAACATCTTCTTCAAATATTTTTTTCTACCCACAATTCCTCACTTCAGCCTCTTTAACTGCTTCAAAAATGTTGCCGGAGGACTCCTTTCTTTTGTTCCCTCCCCCATATTCTTTGGCATTCCATCTTTTCCTGATAACTTCCATAAAAGATTTATGTGAAACCCACATTTCGTGGAACCTAAAATGTTTAGGACCCCTGGAGTTGGCTTTAGAGCATTTTAAAAGCAAAGGAGTATGGTCGGAAGAGGCCATTCCCAAGTCCCAACTGAACTTCCACTACATTGTCAGACAGATTTAGAAAACTATCAGAGGCTAAAACTCTATCGAGTCTTTACAGATCCGATATGGAACTTTTAATATTCCTCAAACCATCCCATAAGGCTATAACTCAACTCGTTCCAACCTTGTGTGTCTGCCATAAATAGCCGTCATCCAGAAAGAAAGTCCAGATTTAAGGTGAGCAGCTTAACCTTCATGTGAATAAATTGGTTTTCGTCATAAAAATCATATATATCAAATAATGTTATTTCAAGAAACGTACACAATCGCCAAACCTCATTGTAATCACATTTATCACACAAAAATCAAATGATTTTTTTAATAAATAAATAAATACGACCCACCATAGAAATATGCGTAGTATATTTTTGCTACACAACCAAGAACACAAGTTTGTAAATTAAGGTAAGTATGGCAGGTACAACCCAAACCCTAACACCTACAAATATTTTTAGGGGAAGACAACCTATTTATAAAGCCAACTATATCATGCTTTAATAGGAGTGTAGATTATTGTTGAGAAAAGGCATGCTATCACCAATAACATTAAATAGCAATATTTACCATTATATGGCACAAAAAGAACTAGGAAAATTAATAAAATAATAAAAGTTACTGTGGAATATCATAGTTTACGGTACATCTCAGCATCCTTTAAGCCGGATGGACTTCCATTAGTCGAACAAACATTTCACTCATAAGCTCATTCTAATCTGACATTTTCCAACTAATTAAGAAGAGATGCTCGGAGATGAAATGTTCCCACAGAAATTTGTGTCGAAATGCAATCTTGATAGCGTACCATCGTCCCTGCGAAAATCCTGCAGTATATCTATTGATTAGGGAAAATGTACAAATATACCCCTGTAGCATTGGTGTGAGAACAAATATATCTTTGTCTTTTTTTGGAATAAATACACCCCTAAAGTTTATGTGGAGGTGCATGTATACCCCTGAATTTTTGAAAGATGCAAAAATACCCCTCATGTTCCTGTAAAGAAGAAAATATACTTTTATTGAATTTAAATAAATAAAAAAAATTTAAAAAAACACTGAAATAAATTATAAATTCAAAATTGAAAAATAAAAAAATTAAAGAGTTAAAAATAAAGATTTATTTTTATGTTAAAATATTAACTATTTAATTTTAAATTGAAAAAATATTATTTTTCCGTTATAAATGAAGCACGTCAAATTAATAAATACTCCGTATTAATTTTAGTCTTGTTGCTAAATTTTGAACCCATTGTTACATTTTTTGAAATAACATTATTTGATTTTCTTTAACCTGAATAAAATTAAATTCACTATTTCATAATCTTTGAATATTTATCATCATACAAAATCATTTCATTTTCATTTACCCCAGTGCCGCAAAGGCTCCCACCTACGGTGGGGTAGGGGGGGTCGGATGTACGCAGTCTTACCCCTGTACTAAAGCACAGAGAGACTGTTTTCGGATGACTCATAGTGAAAATCCCGTCCAAAATTGCATGGACTGACTGCTGCTTCATAACAAAGAAGCGCAGACAGTTTAGTGAGTCATTTTGCTTTATTCCATCATAATCTCAAACCAAAAAATAATGAATCTTTGGCTCCATTGCAAATGATGGAAAACTAACAAAATATAAAAATTAATGATTTTTTAACATCGCAACACATATGTTAACAATTTTATGAACGAATCTTAAATACGTAGTATATAGTAAAGTTTTGAAATAATATTTTACACTAACAATATTAAATTGTGATAAATTGTAGTATGTTAACAATATTTTGTCAATTTCAAATTTATAATTTACTGCCTCCGTCCCTATATAAAAGTATTCATTCGTTTTCCACACATTTTAAGAAAGTGGGTTTGGTTGGTACTGTTTGGCACTGTTTGGACACTGTTTGACACTATTTTGCACTTTTTTGTTTGCCAAAAAAAGGAAAGGGAACTTTTATTTAGGGACGGCCCGAAAAGGAAACATATGCTTTTTATTTAGGAACGGAGGGAGTATTTAAAGTCAATAAGGGTAAAATTGATCCTTTATAAGAACATGAGTATTTTTGCACCTTTTAAATTTGAGGGGTATATATGCACTTCCACATAAACTTCAGGGGTATATTTGTTCCCAAAAATAGAACAATGATATATTTGTTCACACTCTCATACTAGAAGAGTATATTTGTACCTTTTCTCTATTGATTTATAATAACACTTGGTCTCGAAACATTAGAAAGCAATTGATTGTGTAATATACAGTTTTGAGTTTTCTATAAAAATGTCAAACACATACACGGAGTAGCTAAAATTTTATATGTTTTGTTATTTTTTATTTTTGAGATGAGGGTTGACTTAACAGACTATGCACAGATTCCAATATTTACCTTGCTAGATGCCAATTGGGTAAGAAGTCCATGGTGATCATGAATTGATGTTTCCACAACTACAGGGTTCTCTAGATTGGTGATGTTGTTCTTCATTGATGGCATAGTATACTGACCAGTGGAATTCTGAATAGAAGCATGATTATTGGTCTGTTCCAACATTTCTTGGTGTCCAGAAAAAGCACCTGCGTTTCCTTTATCAAATTCAAGCCCAGCTTGACGGAATTGGCCAGATTGCAAGGATCCCTCAAAATAGCCCGGATACAAACTCAATCTACTCCGCATTGTCAACACCTGAAATTACCCCCAGACCACCCGCTATATAAAAAATGGACTTCCTAATCTTATTCCTCAAGTTTAAAAAAACAATTCTGTAAATATTACTGAAATAAAATTCATGAACAAAAAAAGACTCAAATTACAATAAATATATCATCATGGTCACTATTGTGTAAGATTAGTCAATAAGTTACTATTGTAAACACTAAAGTTTAAATGTCACATTTTTATCCACTAAAATAAATTTTAGTCATATATTTATCATTATTTCTTTTATAAATGACACTCGGGCACTAAATCAAATTAAAGAATAATACTCAGTATAAGAGATGTGTACACATACTAATATAATGGGATTAGAACGGAACTCCACCTAAGAAATTTGCAAAATATGATCAAATTGGTAGTAGCCATTAAGCCATAGTATGGTTTAGTGTCTTCTAAAAATGAGATAGAGATGGCAAAGTCAGCAGAGTGGCACATAAATTTATACTATTCTAAATATTAGCAAATAAAATAATTTTCTTGACTTGGATTTACAAAAACAAAAAGAAATGCAACAAAATGCACCCCATCAAGAGGCATAAGCTGCAGTTGGGAAGTATGGTGAAGAGTCAAAACCTATCCACCCTTCAATAAGCTGGTGCAAGACACCAAATTAAAATGCATCAAAATTATATGGATACATGTTTACAGCACAGCAACCGCTAAACAATGGGAGATACGTAGTACTCCGTATAAAGTAGAGACTCGAGAGCAGTTTTGTTGACCACTCCTATGAGAGTAAACATAACAGCCTACCATAAGAAGCAGAAGGATAATGGTATGGAATTTCATAAAAAGATATTTAATCTGATATCTTATACGTAAAATAGGATTGTTTATAAATAATACTACCTCCGTCCCAAAATGATAGTCCTGTATTTTCTTTTTGGGATGTCCCAAAATGATGGTCCTGTTTCTCATTTTGGAAAGAAAAATGTGGTTCATATCATTTCACTTTATTATACTCAAATCTCAACCATAACTTTTAACTTTTCAACCACTTTATTAAAAATTGTGCCCAAAAGAAATGAGACCATCAAATTTGGACGGAGGGAGTACTAGTATTAGAGCATTTCTTAGAAAAATGGGCTACATGTGGCAATTCATATTTGGTTACCAATAATTAAAGACAAAAGAATGGGGGTTTTGTTCACCCTCCACAGAAGGGGTGAACAAAGTGGAACTTTTTAAACTGTGAGCTTGTTAAGCTGTTCTAGCAGGTCCTGACGAACAGAGTAGATAAACCAACCCCTACTCAAGAATGTGAGAAACAAATGATAAATTCTGAGTGTTTCGCATAGGAATTGAAATGATGCAGTAACACTAGCAGGACCAAGACCTGTACTTGCAGTTGAAGCTGCTTCAAATATTCAATAGCTTCTTCAAGCATTGATGCCTTGTCTGTCTACAATACGGAACAAGTAAGCAACCCAAATTAAATGCTAAAACCCATAAATAAACATTGGGAGAGTGCTTGGGGGGGGGGGGGGGGGGGGGGGGGGGGGGTAAAGATAGGAAAATGTGATAGTGAATGTATACTCTGTGAGAATTTGGGATCAAGGTCTGTAAGGATTTCAGTTTCTCATTGATCCGGCTTCTCCTCCTCTGTGCAAAGCGGTTAATCAGATGTAATGCATATATGACATGCTTTTAAATCCAAAGCAGATCAGTTAAGCCAAACCAAACCTTTTCCGACAAATTATGATCCTCTGATGATCTGCATCTCTTTGAGGAACGCGACTGAATCCGATTACCTGGCGCATCTGAGTTTTCACGTCCCTGCAAAATCAAAGGCCAGCTTTGAATGAGTAAACTAGTTCACAATAACATAGTGAGCTCGCTACTAGAAGAATAGAAATTCTTCAAAATCGTGCATTCGTGTCTAGTTCAGTGATGAAAATAACAAATAACCTTGTTTTCATAAAACTCAGTCCTCCTCGAAGAACCTGCCGGAGAGAAAGCGTTGGCGGCAATTTCGTTTACTTGAGTTCTATAAAAAACGGAAGGATCGGAGAAATTCAGGCAAGGAGATGAATCGAGCTGTTGAGGAGAAGCACCGTCTCCAACCTGGCCCATCAAATCCGCGGCATCCGACCCCGGTCTAGGGAGTAGTCCCGAAACTGTCAACCCCCATCAGCAGTCCCCGGATGAGCCGTGGATAAGATTTTGGAGAAACGAAGGCATGTCGTCGTGTTCGAGAGAGGGATGGCCTTTTGGAGTACTGATCTGCCATTGATGACGATCATCGGGAGAGGGAAAATATTCAAATTTTATTTGTGATTTGCTTCATGGGATAATGGGATTGAGAGCTTTTTGTCCTAGATTTTTCTTTCCCTCTAATTTGACACTGTGTAGAAGTTTAATCACCCGCCTTAATTGTAATTTGGTTTGTATGGAAATAAAAGATGAAAATTTATCTTTTATAAGTATTTCCAAGTTATTTTATTTTTTAAAAAATGTTATTTTATGTGATTTCTTTTTAGACATGTCTAAAGTTTGTATATTCTCGTGGTCGAACAGATCGAGCTTTCAAATTTTATTGTTGGTGGATGACAATGCTTATCCTGCTTGATTTGTTTGGGAGGTTAACTTCAGACATCTGCGAATCCAATACCTCAATTATTCGTCCTCCTTCTGAACCATCGTCGTGCTATGAGAGAAAGATAATGTTCGATTGGATCTTCTTTTCGGCGGTTGGTCAAATCGATGATATTTACAATTTCTACTCAGCAGCCAATCAAACAAAGGATTCTAGTTGTTTCTTTCTGGTGGCTGGACAAATCTGATTTTTTATTATTTCCTTGCCGTTGAATGGTGAAATTGATTCATATGTTTGTTTTCTGTCGCAGATTAATACTTTTTCTAGTATTGCTTATTAGTTAAGAGTTTCTATAAGTAGTAGGAGCTTCTATGTTGATAGAAGAGTCTACATCTTTGCAGGATTAACGAATTGTGATGTTCCTTTGTAACTATTCAGTTCTATATCTCATCTCATTGTAGCCTTAGACTATCATGATTACTTCTGTATTGATCATATTTACTATTAATAAATATGGAGTAGTTGTTTTTCTTTCAAAACAAAAAACAAATTTACAACCACGCCTCTAGTTTCAGGAGTAGATCTATGTTGTAAAAACCGCAAAAAGAAACATATTGACCCAATGATCGAGTCACGGGTCAACCTGGTCAAATTTGGAAAACTCGGTCAACATAGTAAGTAAAAGTATTATTTTAAAATATACTATGAAGCATCATATACTCAGTAATTTTTAACTATATATAATGCATTTAGAATGGTTTTACTTGGACTGAAATTTACTGGTCTAGTCTGGTCTGATCTGGTCTGGTCTGGTCTATATGTATTTTATAACTATTCAAGTTTGATAGGCCGAAAAACATTGTTACCAAATGGCCTCTTAGAGAGTGTTTGCTAAAACTTAAGAAAATGTTTTTCACCTTTTGGCTTAAAAAAAGGTTAAAATAGTGTTTTCAAAACTCACAACTTTATTTTAATAAATTAGGGAAGTGCCCCCCCCCCCCCCCCCCCCCCCCCCCCCCCACAAAAAAAAAGATTAGAAAATAAATAAAAATAAAAAGTGTTTGTTAGAGCAAGAATCTGACGGTTTATGTTGCATTAAAGAGGGTTGATCACAGAAATTAATGATACGTTCATAAGGCTTAATGATGGATGTTGTAACATTTTCTGTACATTATTAGGCTCTTTAGTGTGATTAAGGAAGGTATTAAATGTAATTGATCAACCTTTATGGCAGATTCAAAATCGTCATAACGGACGACCAACCTGTCAGTAACGTACAAAGGCATCATGAGAGCATTAATTACCCTTCATATAAATAGAATATCCCTCATCATAACCAGACGATTGATATTCGAATGATACACAAACTCTTATTCACTCACTTGTCATCTTCTTCATTGCTCTTGCTCGAAGCCCATTCTTCATATAAAGTCCTTTTTAATTAGTTTTAGCTTATCAATAAAATTGCTTAAACAATTTGGCGCCCACCGTGGGGCATCGTGCAAGAGAAATATCATTGAGCATGGCTGACGGTAATCCTTTGTTGGCAGAGTTTCATGAGTAGTTTAGGTCGGCAAAGGAGGAAAGTTCTCGAGAAATGGCGGAACGAATGGCCATCTCCAACGGGAGAACGATCTGCTTCGATCCCAAATCTAATCAGCGGTATCAATCGCCTCCAGTTCTAGAGGCAACCAGAGAAACGATATTACGCTCGTCGTTACACGATTGGAATTGGATTCCATTCCGGCGATGACGGAATCACCAATCATCACCACTAAACCCCGTCTCTCTCACATTGGGCCTCTCACATGCCGGAGATTCGCAACCTACAGTCATCTCTTGGGTCATCCCTTACACACCTCTCATCCCTGAGACGACTCCCCTTCCCAGCATACCGACTTGTTTCTTTCCAGAGTCCCTTCGTCCCGAACCAAGAACGACAGGCTTGCACTCGGCCACTCAAAGCTTACCTACCAATGGCGTCGACCGTATCAGCCCCGACGAAACCGTCTCTCCCTCATTATAGAAGCAGAACTCATGGTGAACCCGGTCCGTCCAACTTCGTGTAGAACCGCAAACGAAATGTCTTTGATGACCTGCCACATGAGGTTCAGACACAACGACCGCGTAGACCAGTCACTTTAGCGGATGAGAATTGCGGGGGGTGACGTCCGGAAGTCATAGTCATCCCGTCACCAACCCGTCCCGAAGTGACAGGACCAACGGTTTCAACAGGAGGACTACTTCAACCAGGTCTGGCGGATACAATGTCTATGATGATGGACCAATTACGTCAGATGCAAGAATAGATCAACGGGTTACCAGGAGAGCCCCCACCTTTGGATCGAGCATCACGAACATGTTATGCAGATTCCCCCTTTAGCCGGCAGATCACCGATGTGGAAATACAAAGAAAATTTGTTGCACCATCAATGAAGATGTTCGATGGTACGTCTTATCCTCTGGAACATATTGCTCAATTCAAGCAGCGAATGCTCGTCGTATTGCTTCATCCAGATCAAAGAGAAGCGTGCATGTGCCGAGATTTCAGAGCGACACTATATGGCCCTGCCCTAACATGGTTCGTCAACCTGCCAAATGGAGGGATCAACTCGTTTGCGAAACTAGTTGATGCGTTCAACCAACAGTTTGCAAGCAGTCGAGTTCTTGAAAAGCAGACAAGCGATCTTTACAGAATCCTCCAGCGTCGAAATGAGTCACTGTGAGACTATCTGCATCACTTCAACAAAGAAAAAGTGTCGATTTCCAGGTGTGACATGTCGATAGCAGTGGAGGCATTTCGGAGGGGTTACATTTAATCGACGATTCAGAACTGTAAAGAGAACTAACTAAGTACCCCTGCAGAACCTTCGAAGATGTCCAAGCTAAGACCTTAGCTTTCATCACGCTCGAGGAGGATCAACAATCACGACTTCGACAGGATGGATATGACGGGGGGAACGTAAATCCAACACGTTCAGGAAGCACGATTACCGGACCGACAAGCCCTATGACAGAACTGAGGATCGTCCAGTACCGTCAATAGCAAGTTGGCTTGATGATCCAGGTTTGCCACCCGTCATCACTGATTACTGCTTCTATGTTACCACCCCGGGACTAGACCTGTCAATGGATCGGGTACGGGCCGAAACATATTATCCCAGACCCGGACCCGTTAACCTCTATAGGGTTCCAGACCCGACCCATATACCCGGTGGGTCTAGAACTAATGTTTCGACCCATATCCATTGGGTCTCGGAACCGGGTTGGGTAGACTCGACCTGTCTCACGAAAATCCAATTTTAATTTCTTAAATAAAAAACAGGACCTCTTACTACCGAGTACTTTTCTGGCAACAATATGGCACATGAACTGTAATTATTTGTCTGTAATTACTCAACCAAACACAACAATTGTGAGTTGGTTTATAATTTGCAAGACATGTAGTGTTACAATAAAGAGTAAAATTAATGGCTTTGAAAACTGAACAGGCTTTTTCTTGAATCCTCTGCGGTCTGCGGACTCTAGGGTTTCTAGGAATCCTTCTTCGGAATTATTAAACTAAATCGTAATGTGGACGACAACTAATGTAATATGTATTTTAGACTAATGTATGTGTGTGTGTGTGTGTGTGTGTGTGTGTGTGTATTAACGGGTCGGGTCCTAAACAGGTCGGAACTACATATACCATACCCGACCAATTAAATAACGGGTCCCGATCCAGATCCGGGTAATGGAATTAAATGTAGACCCATACCCATTAAAAAAGACGAATTCGGGTCAGGTTTGGGTCTGGACCCGACCCATTGACAGGCCTACCCGGGACTCATCTGATGGCCCAAGAAAACTGACAAATCAGTGGGACGTCGAGATTCGAGTGAGCAGTGTGATTTTCACGATGACTTTGGGCACAACACTGAGGATTGCATCGCGCTTCGGAAAGAGGTGGAATATTTGCTGAGGAATGGCTATCTGACAGAAATCATGTCTGAACATACCAAATCGCTTCTGGGATGGAATGTCAAAGCGTCACCAAATGAGTCGAGACCTCCTTCACCGTCAGCTCCTTGTAAGGTAATTAATTTCATTAATGGTGGATCTGACTTATGTAAACTAACATACTCCGCTGCAAAGAGACACGTTCGGGGTTACTCCCGAAACAAGTCATTGCAGGTTTGCAGGGTTGAGAAGCGTCAAGAGGATTGGAGAAATGCGTCAATTACCTTTGACGAAACGGATATTCCCGATCCGACACAATCTCATCATGATACATTAGTCATCTCTCTCAGAGTGGCGAACTGTGAAGTCAAACGAGTCTTCGTGGATAACAGAAGCACTACAAATATCACAACTATGAAAATGTTAAAGGAGATGGAATCAAGGCGTCGGCGACGGCTTTCTGGGAGATGAGAAATAGAGATAAGAAATACAGAGGAGAGAGAGAGAGAATGGGGTGTGGGAGGAGCTAACGATTGAAAAGGAAAAGAACACGGAAAGTTTCGAATTAATAAACAGGTGTATAATTGGAATGGTAAATTAAAAGCATCTATTCAGGGAATAAATCATTAAGAAGTCCTATTTTGGAAGAGGATAGGAGGTCAGCCTTCGTTCTTCATTGCTTAAGTCAAAGAGACGGATACGATCAAAAACTACTTGCAAGGAAGATGACAGGTTGATGGAAACGTCTTATCTGAAGATTGACGGCTTGACGAAAGCGTCTCGTCAGACGAGTGACATGTTGTTAGAAGTGTCTCAACGCACAAATGACGGTTTGCAGAAGTGTCTCATCAGATTAGTGACGGG